GCCCTTGTCAGCGCCACAGACCGCGACTCGGGAGCCAACGGGCAGGTGCGCTGCAGCCTCCGTGGCCACGACCACTTCACCCTGCAGCGCGCCTATGAGGACAGCTACATGATCGTCACCACAGCGGCGCTGGACCGCGAGCGCATCCCCGAGTACAACCTCACTGTGGTGGCCGAGGACCTGGGCTCGCCACCGTTCAAGACTGTCCGCCAGTACACAGTGCGAGTGAGCGATGAGAATGACAACGCCCCGCTGTTCGCCAAGCCCCTCTATGAGGTGGCTGTGCCAGAGAACAACCCCCCAGGTGCCTACATCACCACCGTGGTTGCCCGTGACCCCGACCTTGGCCACAACGGTAAGGTCACCTACCGTCTTCTGGAGACACAGGTCATGGGGGCTCCCATCTCCACTTACGTCTCAGTTGACCCTGCCACTGGCGCCATCTATGCCCTCAGGACGTTCAACTATGAGATCCTCAAGCAATTGGACCTCAGGATCCAAGCCACTGATGGAGGCTCCCCACAGCTCTCCAGCAGCACCCTTGTCAAAGTGAGGATGGTGGACCAGAACGACAACCCTCCTGTCATCATCCACCCAGTGCTCACCAATGGGACAGTGGAAATTGGCGTGTCCAGTAAAACCTCCCGTGACTCCCTGGTGGCCCAGATCAAAGCTCGAGATGCAGATGATGGGGCCAATGCTGAGCTCACCTTTGCCTTCCTGGAAGAGCCTCAGCAGGATCTTTTTGCCATCAGCCCAAGTACTGGGGACATTGTGCTGAGGGGCGACCTCTCTGAAGAGCTGGGACAGCTGTTCAAGGTCATCCTCACTGTGACAGACAACGGCAGACCCCCCCTGGCCACGACTGCCACAGTCAACTTCCTGGTGACTGCCTCTGCTCCTTCCAGTATCCAGGAGATAGCCAAGCCCAGCTCCTGGGAAGGAAAGGCTTTGCAGTGGGACATCCCTCTGATCGTGATCATCGTCCTGGCAGGCAGCTGCACCCTCCTCCTGGTGGCTATAATCACCATCGCCACCACCTGCAACAGGCGCAAGAAGGGGAACGAGATCAAAAACAATGCTTCCCTGAAGGAGCAGATAGACATCTCCCACCTGGAGAAGGGCCAGCAGGAGGAGAACAGCCAGAGGGGGAACGTGTTTGAGGTACGAACCTTTCCCAGCAAAACCTCTTTCACCAGCCCTGACCCGTCTCCTGTTGCCGAAGAGATCTCCACTGCTGAGAGCAGCAGCGACAGCACTTGCCTCTATGAGGGTCAGAAGAGGCTCAGAGGACCAAGTGGGGAGGTAAGATCCTGACACAGGGAAGGGGGTCAGAGGGTGGGGGGATCTCGGAGGATGTGAATTGCAGAGATGTGGATCTGATACTGATTTACCCTTCACTACTTCCCCCCCTCACCTCTCCTTTGATCCCCTACCCCAGCAGGGTTTTGCTGCTGCTCCGAACTACAGCAAGGAGCCTGCTCCCCCTGTGGCCATTTGGAAGGGACACTCATTCAACACCATCTCCGGCCGAGAGGCGGAGAAGTTCAGTGGCAAAGACAGTGGCAAAGGTGACAGTGATTTTAACGACAGCGACTCAGATATCAGCGGAGACGCCCTGAAAAAAGACCTCATCACACACATGCAGAATGGTAAGAGCTTACCCTGTGCTCCTGACTGGCACCTCCGGCCAGACAGACGTGGGGGGGGGGTTGGCAATGTGGACAGAGGGACCTAACCCTGGGGCTCAGTGATTAGGCAAGGGCAGCTGGAGGGGGAAACCTGATGCTGAGTGACTCACACTGCCAGTCTCTTTGCAGCATGCTGTTAGATGCTGATTCGTCTCCACACAGAGTGCCCAGCACAAATGAGCAGATGTTGAAAGTCCTGTAGGATTGGGGTTTTTTTCCTCACCAAAAATGCTTCCTCTAAGGTTAGGGTTGCATGGAGTATCCCTAGCAAAACGGCATAACCTTCCCAAGCATGATTTTTGCTGTGCTGCAGAGCATCACCTCCCAACTCCCACTGTCAGCACATCAAATCATCCCATGACTGATAACTCTGAGGATTACGAATTACGTGGATCTATTCCTGCAGTAACAACAGGTTTCTCCTTCTCTCCCTTTAGGTCTGTGGGCATGTACAGCTGAGTGCAAGATCCTGGGTCACTCAGACCGCTGCTGGAGCCCCTCCTGTGGCCGAGCCAACCCTCACCCCTCTCCCCATCCTTCGGCACCCCTCTCCACCTTCTGCAAGAGCACATCCTTGCCCAGGGATCCCCTTCGCAGGGACAACTTTTATCAAGCCCAGCTGCCCAAAACAGTGGGGCTTCAGAGTGTCTATGAGAAGGTGCTGCACAGGGACTTTGACCGGACAATGACGCTCCTCTCCCCACCACGCCCTGCACGGCTCCCCGATCTTCAGGAGATTGGGGTGCCCCTCTACCCAGCCCCCTCGACTAGATACCTGGGTCCCCAGACTGACACAGCTGAGAAGGTGTAGCCCAACACTCTCCATGCTCAAGTACACACATCCCTGCACCCACACGGCTAGGTCACTCCTGAGAGCCTTTAAGTTATTGACCAGACCCAGTGCTGTTCATGTAAATATGCAAGATGTGCCTTAAAAATGAAGTTGTTGATGTGATTTCCAATCACATCAATACTGTTTGATATTTGCAAACAAAAGTATTGTTTGTAGTTAATGTAATTTTTATGAAATGTGCAGTATTTAAATTTTTTTGTTCATGTTTTCTACATTGTTTCTTGTTTTCTGCTTTTGGTTCACCCATGGCCTGCCATTTTTTGTAGTGTTTTTAACCTGTACATTGTGTAATGTAATGTTTGTACATAATGAAAATTGGTTATATTTTTATATAATAAAAGCTTAAAAAGTGGGAATTCTTGCCAAAGCGGCTGTCTGAAAGACACAATAATAATAATAATAATTAATAATAACCTGAATATGTAAAGCCTTGTAAGGGAAAGTACTCTTTCATGGTGTAATAATAACCTAAGCAACCCAGTGTACTGAGAAGTTTGCCTTGCCAAATGTGACTTGTATTTCTTGAGTCTGTGGTCAACTTAAAGTTAAATGTTATTTAATTGCCTTTGGTTCCTGTAATCTGTGTCACTCATAAACACTAATAAAGGTTTTGTGATGTGTCGGAGGGATCTGTTAATGGATTTCATGCTTTAGAGCACAGAGGGCTTCACAGGTTAACAAACTTATTTTGTGCAGAGAAATGCAGTGGGGAGGAGCCTGAATTATGCTACTTTTATTCTTGACCACCCTTCCTCTCTGGCAATACCCCACTGAAAGTTTAGCTCTGGAGATTTTAATGATGGGTTACTGGGTGAGAGGGAGGACTGGGTGACTTCATTATCTGGTCTGAGCTCTTCCAGCCCCATTCTTATCCTTCAGTGGCAGGAAGCAGTGTGATTTTAGTGAAGCACATGAAACAAATTCTGAAGTGCTTGTGCCATGCAAAGCTCAACTGGGAAGCAACATCTCTCATGGTCAGGAAAATCAGTGTCTATGGTGATTCATCTAAACCTGGCAGTAAAAAAAAAATGGTGCATTTAATTAACCAAGAGGGTTGTCTTGGTTAAATTTAGGGCTGAAGTCTGGGCTGAAGAGTGGGTGCTGTGAAGGAGGGCTGGGAGCCTCCCTGCCAGCTCATCATCAGTGATGCAGCGCAGCAAGTCTGCATGCGAAGTAATTACCCATAACTGAGGCTGAGGTGCTGAATTTGCGCTGCTGCCTAAAAAAGGAGGGTGATCTGATTAGCTGGTTCTTTGTCACCTCATTTGAAAGCCTGGGATATGTGCTGCTAGAACTCCACAGCAGGTTCCTAAGCTGCCAGCAGGTCCCTGGACTCTCCTGGGGGAGGCTGGTGGGAGGCAACTGCAGCCAAAGGGCAGTTCATTGCCTTGGGCTGAGGTGCTGAATTTGCGCTGCTGCCTGCAAAAGAGCCTGTGTGCTTCTGTGGGGCAGTGCTCATCACTGCCTAACCAGGAGATCAGGCCACCCCAGGGTGTAGTCGTCATGAAAAAGGAGGCAAATACAGTCACCTGTTCCTGTTCCCAAAGCAGCTTTCAGCAGTAAGCAGCTACAGTCTTGTTGGGATCTGGGGTATGTCTGTTCTGGGGTCCTACCTTCTGCCAGTAAAATGTGGGATTCATCCACTCAGCATTTAAATCTGACCCAGTCACTTTGCAGGGACACTGATTAGTGGAAATATATGGACATCTTCTCAGGACTTCTCATCTTGGCTCAGAGACAGGCAATGGGGACAGTTCAGGTCTATCACTGAAGCTCCTGATTTCTTCTTTGCCTGCAGGGCAAGGGGCAACAGCCCAGACTCCTTTAACCTTCAGATACCTAAAATTAGGTGAGGGAAATCCCCAAGCTACATCAGAAAAGAGCACACATCATCCAAAGTGCAGATCAGCAGAGAGGGGAGCCCAAGGCTTAGCTCTAGGGCAAGGGCCCTTGAAGCAAACATTAGCTCCACTGGTGCTATTTCTCTGTGCATGTCCTAGTTATTTCTTCTATTTTTTATCAACATAACAGATTGTTGCTACCATACTCCAGAAATTACTGCAGACTTATCAATTAAATTCTATTTATTTGCCAAGCATGGAGTGGCATCAGCCTTGTGCGATGTGTGGGGGAAGAGACTGTGCAGCCACACAACCTCTCCATCCTGTGCAGCTGCCCTCTCTGTCCTGTGGAGCTGCCCTCTCCTGCCTGCCTTTCCCTAGCTCAGAGGGCAGAGGTGAGAAGGGAGAGCAGGTACACAGGACTGGAGACAGCACTCTTTCACTCAGCTGACATTAATTCCACAGTCTAAACTGGCTACAGCAGCTGGAGATCACAAAAGCCCTAACACTGAGCCTAAGATACTCCTGTAGAATTCTCAGCTATGATGGAGCTCCGTTAGGATGCAAATCATCTCCTGAACCAGCCACCTAACACAGGCCTAGTCTATTTCACCAAGAAATTCCCCATCCCTCCCCACATGCAACCTGTGATGGCTTTAGATGTTTGCCCTGTGGATATCCAACACCTATCAAATCTTACCCAAGTGTTTTCAGATAGCACCAGGCAGTTTGCTGGTAGCAATTGCCATGAGACCATCCGATCTGAGAGCACTGACAGTGTGGCAAAATGAGGGAGCTGTAGCCACAATCATTTGCATGAAGGTGAAGATACCTCATAGCATCAGTAACAACAAGCCAGGCTGTTGGAGACCAGCAGACTCACAACCAAGTGCCAGCATCCAATTTCTTCTGCATGAAGGGAGAGGAATAACACAGGTGGGTAATTCCCACAGCCTCTCTTCTGGGTGTACCTGCACAGCCATGAAGATGTAGCTGCAAGACCCAGGACACACAGAAATGATGCTACAGCAGCACAGTCATGGAATTCCCTGTGTCCTAAGTGCCTCAGAGATGTTCTGGGACTGTGGGCTTGCAGATGCCACCCTGGAGAATTTGGGCACTTACCCAAACCTGTTCTAATTTTTAATAAATTCAATTCATTTTCCCAAAGTCGAGTCAGTTTTGCCCGTGAGAGTAATTAGTAAGTGAACTCTCTATATGTATCTTGACCCCATGAGCATGTTTTTTAAATCTGATTTTTCCCCTGTCCTGTAGGGAACTGAGGGACTGAGTGGCTGGGTGGGGATCTGGCTTCTGGCCAAGGTCAAGGCACCACACACACCAAGGAAAAAAGAACCCAAAGATGTTTTCTGTAGCACTTGAGAAAATAAATTTTTTTAAAAGTCATATTCTCACTGACCTGCTCTTATTTCCTGTGCCCCTTTAATGCCTTCAAGGGATGTTGCATGTTTAACCTTGTGTGATGGAACACCTAATTCTGGTTTCTGCAGTGCCTGCTCCAGATGCAGGACTCCCAGGGGGGCAGCACTCATGCTTCTAAGTGGATATGGTTGTGACATCCGGGATGGGGGCTCATTCCTGTGATTTTTACACATGTGAGACATGCTCAGAAGATGCTGTCTGGACCAGGCCCTGAAGGCAGAGAAGCATCAGGGTGGGGTTTACCTGATGATTCAGACAGATGTGCCTTTTGTGGCCAGTAGGTGTCTACATGCAGACAAGATGTCTTTGGTCGTGTGGCAGAGAAGGAGGGCTTGTCGGGGGGGTCTAGAGGGTTGCCTGGCTCACCTCACAGCAAGCACCTGCATATGCTTAGTAAAATGGCTCTCTGCTCTCCCATGACTGCATCAACTACCTCGCCATTGCACATGACAGCAGATTAAGCACCTGCCTTACACACAGACACACGTGGGTATAGAAATTCAGGTAGGTGCACTGTCACCAAAAAGATGTCACCCTTTTCTCCATGTCCAGCTTCATTTTCCCATTAGTCCTTTGCCACCTCGACCCAGGAAACCCATCTGCCCATGGGCTGATGTACAAAAGCTGGGTGGATCTCTGCAGGTTTAGCTCAACCAGACGTCAGGTGTATGTCAGACACTGTCAGGGAGGGGGCAAAGAGGAAGGAGGCCCCCAAAGCTTGGGAAGAAGGCAGAACTGCACTTTTGGGCAATTGCCAACAAGTAGAGCACCCCAGATGTAATGTAAAGCTTCTACAGTTTCTAAGTGAACTAAAGGACGGCCAAGGAGGAACCTAATGCCTTTTGGATGCTTTGAAGGTTTGTCATACTGCCAGCTCCCTCCCCAGTGTCACCTAAGCCCAAATTTAGGTTGAAGAATGTGGACAGGTAAGTGGGGAAAAGTGTTACTTCCTACCATATATGCCAAAGTCTTCATGCCTTCCTTATTTAAGAGGATGCTTTGGAGATGCTCCCTCGAGTCAGGTTTCCTTCTCCTTAGGTAGTGATAAAGATCCCTCCACTTGCCCTTGTTTCCTGATGGACAAAAAAACTGTTTTTGCACTCATGCCCATGATGCCTATGGCAGTGGGATCCTCACCACTCTCAGGGCTCTGAGACCTGCTGTCCATCCAACATTAATCACACCCGTAGGGCTTACAGGGAGCCAGGGACCCAACTGCAGGCAGGGAGGGATACAGGGATCAGCAGGGGGGCTGGCTTCAGTAGTTTCCCCCTGCAGGGCCAGGATTAAGATCCTGGTCGTTGAATTGGGAAGGGAGCAGATGGCCACCATCTGAGAAATGCAGTGATTTAGACTGAAAAGCCAGTGGATTCATTCAGTTGGTAATCATTATTATTTTGGAGTGGGCATTAGCATCCTCTGGGTCACAAGCAAAGCACCCATTTTAGCCTGCAGAGGACAAACCCTACTTGCCCATCAGCTCCTG